GGACATTTTTGTCCAGAAGGATCTTCTTTATTGAAAACATTTGTTTTAATATTGGATTCGAACGGTAAAAGGGTTTGTAATACATACCAGCTGACAAATGGATTTCGTGTACAAGTAAAGGTAAAACCATAAACCTTTATTATTTCTAGTTAGAAATAAACTCAATTGGAATAAATTTTAACCTCAAATTAAATATGGGTCACGTTTGTGTGAAGAATGCTGATATGAGATAAACATAACGCATTGTCTGTTAACAATTTGTTAACGGTTCATTTGTATTTGTAAATCTGACTGTAAAAAAGTTAGTGCCACACCAGCTGTCAACCTCACCCCACGTCACTACAAAAGTGGAATTTTCCACTGCATGCCATTTTGTGGATATATTTTACCTCCTGTTGCCTGCATTGTGACCAGAGGATGTGGAGAAAAATACAGGGCCTGAGGTTACTGCATGTCCAGAAATGTTCCTGTACAGGGACTCACTGTTTTACCTGACCAGGTCTAATCTACAAGCAGCCTGCCTGTGAAGAACCCTGGGGTGGTGAATGATCAGCTCATCAATTCTTGGATTCCCCTGGAGCACAGCACTAGTTTGTTTTGACTGACTGAGGCCAGTGCGTGTGCAGCATGTGATGTGTTATGAGTTGATGAGAGGATTGTATTTATCCATGATGCTATTGACGGTGCCAAGTTACCTGGTTGAAATAATTGCACTACTTTGGAAATGAATATGGTCACCTGTAATGTTGAGGATTTGTGGAGAAAGATGCAGCAACCACCAGTTGGATTTACCAACCTTGGAGTTACTTAAATGAGAATAAAGTTTCCACTACTCGGTGGGACTTAATGGTAAGTTAACAAAAAACCTACACATGTTGCATGCCTGTTAATGCGTTGTTTTTGTAGAGAGAATTGTTGTAAGGTTAGAAAAGTTACTACGTCTGCATTATGCCAGTTAAAATATGGGGTTTCTCAATTACCCGGATTGTTTAGAGTGTTACACATCTCTTTTCAGCAGTATATATACCGTTGTTTACCTATCTATGGAGGAGAAATTCAAATTAATGCAGTTGTGGTTTGTTGTGCTGTCCACTTTCATATTCTTGCTCAAACATGTTGGGTAGGATTTGAGGTATTGTCATTATCGAAAATGTAGCTTATTTGTCAGTGTTTTTTTTTTTTGTTTGTTTGTTTATGCATTGACATAGCTTTTTGACTGGCAACGGGACTTCACAAACTATCCTCTCATTTTCAGGAGGAGGCTCTCCTTTTAATATCGGGTTTTATCGTTCTGAAATAATTACAGATGGAGTTATGATGGGTGCAAAGCAAATCTAGAGGTAGCGAAGATTAAACATTAACTGGTTGGAAATGAGCAGGCCATGGGCTCTTTAACATCTCTGTTCATGAGTCACAATATTCAACAGGCTGTTGATTTCCATGGAGCTGGAAGTGTCCTATCCAAGGTAGGACACCATGAAGGAAGCCATTGTTGTCCAAAAACAACATTTGCAGCACATCTGAAGTTTGCCAAAGACCACCTTGACATTCCACAACACTACTGGGAAAATGTCCTATGGACTGATAAAACCAAGGTAGAATTGTTTGGGAAGAACACACAGCACTATGTATGGTGTAAAAAGAGAGCAACATACCAACATGAAAACATCATCCCAACAATGAAGTACAGTGGAGGGAGCATCATGATGTGCTGATTTGCTGCCTCTGGACCTGGACCACTTGCCATTGTGGCAGGGCAAATGAATTCCCAAGTTTATCCAGGTATCCTACAGGATTATGTCAGGGTGGCTCTGGCCAAGCTGAAGCTCAGAACAAGCTGGGTGATGCAGCAGGACAACGTCAAAGTTAATATATTACAGAATGGCTTCAGTGACACAAAATCCAGCTTTTGGAGTGGCCCAGTCAGAGCCCAGACCTCAACCCAATAGAGATGCTCTGGAATGACCTCAAAAGAGCTGTTTATACCACATGTCCTAAGAATATGGCTGAGCTGAAGCAGCTCAGTAGGAAGAATGGTCCAGAATTGTCTAATCCATAGCTAGAGGAAGCACTTGCTTGAGGTTATTGCTGCCAAAGGTGGTTCGACCAGTTATTAAAATACTGTTGCTATTATTTTTTCTACTATTGCTTTGTATGTTTAATGGGTGTGTTTAATAAAGACATAAAAGATCAGGACTGTTTGAGTTTTATCATCTTAAAAATATTGTATTTGTTGATATTTGTGCTTGGGTGAAGATCAGATCACATTTCATGACCAATTTATGTAGAAAACAAGGAAATTGCAAACATTTCTATTACTTTTTCATACAACTGCATATATAACTACCACAGAAACACATTAGAACTATATAGTGCTAATCTATGTACTCATCAATAAACGCAATAGTGAATCATTAGGCTTACTGAACACAATAGGACCATGTGAACAACCAGAAGATCTGACCAATTACAGACTATTTTTTTAAGATTTTATGAGGGTAGGCTAAAACCTGACACATGATTCATGGACTCATAGAAGACACTGGCTTAGGATACATATATTATTCATCAGCGGTGTAATGTGATCTGACTCATATCAAAGTCACAGTGTCAGAGAGTCCAGGTGGGAGAATAATGAAGTAGCTGATGCTGTGTATATGAAATGCTAATTCAGTGTCTCCTCCCCCACACAGAACCTAAACACAACAGGAAGCAGCTTTTATTTGCATTAGACAGCTCCATGTTACTATGTCTACATGTATATGCTTCACTTGTAGAGTCAATTTTCTTGTTCAACAGGTGACCTAGAGGAGGGATCACATGATTTATAGGCATTTACAGTAAACTAGTCAAAAGAAAACAGAAAGCAGTCGTATGCTATACAAAGGGATCAGATACAGCGTTGTTTGCTCTGAGTCTGGCTGGATAAGGTGTGGCACAGACCTGCGCCTTGCAGGTGCGCAGCGCTGG